TTGAGTCACCTCCGTTAAATCTTAGAACCTTTTCACGACACCAATAAACATGACAGAGTTTTTGGGCCTCTTTGAAATTATGAGGTATCCACCGGGCACATTGCTTCCTTACCGCTAAATATTCATGGAGGATTTTGTGCACTTGACTCATACCGAAGCTTAAGCTTGTCCGAATCTGCTGATAAGCCACTCTTTTGTCAGTCTCTATCATGCACCGCACCACACTGATGTTATCTTCAGTCGTCGCCGTAGAAGGCAGTCCCTCACGCAAATCATCGGTGAGATTAGTGCGACCACGTTTAAACTCATTAAACCAGTTGTAAACAGTGGCACGAAAAAGCTTCATCGTGAAAGGCCAATCGAAGTCTATTATAACTTTCTTGTTGATTTAAATAGACATCGAACGAAAATTTTCTCGCGTTAAAATCATGCTGACGTGACAGACAATTTTCCGTAGAGAGAGAAACCTGTAGACAAATGACGCCTTCTTTCGCATTTGCACACGAAAAAGATAGATTTATGCATACGTCTTGCATAGCAATGAGACAGAGCGGTTTGATTGTTTGTCCCTTTCTCCGTGCCGGTTTTTTTTGTTTAGCAAACTATATTTTGCTAAACAACTTTGACAGTTCATAGCGATCTAAGGAGTTTACAAGTTGGTTTAAGTGAGAAAAAAAGTGTTTTGTGAGCTTAAGATTGGCAAATCTTGTTCAGTTCAGTTCTTAAAACAATTAAATTTTTTATCTAAATATGTTTAAAAGTCATAAAGATTATTGTATAACCTAAAACTACGTTATCGTCCTTTCTCACTCAAGGCCACGCTAATCATTAGTTATAGACTAAGGTTTCTCTGTCTACACAATTTTCAATTTGCCGCCAAATCGTAAAAAATGACAGATTAATAAAATTCATACACGATAATATTGGCAGAGTTCCATAAAATTTAAACTTTTATTATATTGCCTACAAGTGGCTAGTTTTAAAAACTTTCAGTGTCGCCTTCGTAATATAAAACTTTATCTTTTTGTATGTTATTCAATCACTTTAACCTGTATGTTCGGAAGGCGAATTTAGTCGTTTCGCCGGTTGGCTCGCGACATAAAATGGCGGGAAATGCAAATTTTTTGCTAACTTGCAAATTTTGCTATATTTTGCTATACTTTGAGAAAATATTTATGGATAAAACTTACAGGGATTCTTATTGAATGTATAAACTATAGAATAAAATTATTTTTAGTTGCTAGAAATTGTAATAAAATTCATAAATTACCCTTTATAACATAGTAGTAGTAGATACTTCACTTTTAGTCTAAAATTACTACTAATTTGAATTCTACATGTTTGTTTTTGGAGAAATCTGTATGAAAATGTTTGGAAATATGTATATTTTTATGTTTTATGTGTTTCTATTCGTTACTCATACCAAAATATAAAAAAAAACGAAATTAATTTTTATCTGTGTGAGAATTCCGAATAATATTTCAAATATATTTTTGTGTGAATTTGAAATAAGTACAACGTCAAGTTATTTGAAATATGTTATAAAACTATTTTTTAGTTACATTTTACACTAAAAATTTATGAGAATTGTATAAATAACACATTTTTGACCCAACCGCTAAAATGGGCCTTCCCGATTTCGAAGTATATTTGGCACTTACTTTTCACTCTTTATGCCACAAATTATATATCTATGTGTTTGTTTTATTACAAGGAATACACAAACGTATAAAACTCACCTTTTTATTCCAAAAAACACACAAAAAAACGGAGAAATCACTCAGAAATAACTCACGCACTACCACACACTACTGTTGTAAAAAGCCATTATGTCAGAATGATTTTTATGTCTATTGTTAGAATTGAAATTGACAGATTATGGTACCAAATTAAAGAGTATGTCTTTGTCTATGTCTGTATTATACATTTCAGTATAAATTTGTTATAATTTTTAATGATAAACCTTTTTTTGTCGGGTTCGCCCTCATAAATTATGAGTGGTACTAATGTGTATCCTTGTCGAGCGGGCGGAGGGCGTTGCGTTAGGCACATTTGTACCACTGTCGAGCGTACAGGAAACGACTTAACTAGCTATACTCAACCTGCGATCGTAACTTGTTTTGAATTTGTTTACACACCCAGTTATACAGTCTGGAAGTAGTCGCAATATCATAACAAACCTTTCTTCTCAAATTGCTCTGACTAAGCTTTTGGTATTGGATTACTCATAAGCACGATACTTTCAAGTATACATAATTTTGCAATAACGTGTTGTTCACGAATTGTGTCTATTAAGTTATTAATATTAGATTACTGAAAAGATTATTGTATAACGAAGAAGTATAACGTTGCAGAAGACACTGTCAACGGACATTGTTTCGACCATGCTTTACACATGCATTACAGAACTAGAGATTTTAATTGTTATTTATGGTAAAAAGTTGAAGGTACTCCGGGTTAACACTGACATCGGGACGTCAGTCATCTCTGCCCCCTGTGACTATGGGTGCTGAAAAACACCCAAAAAAGTCGGGAATCAAAAATAATATATATTAAACGCTATAAAATCTGTAAAAGTAGCTTTAATCAATGTGTAGGGTTCACGTAAATATAAGAAATCAAAATTTAATAACATTTCATTGCATTATCCACTAAGAAAACATCAATATTGTCAATTATATACCAGCAGGAGTATTGAACCACAGAAGATTTAAAAGCCTTCTGGAAGAACTGGGAAGTAAGTATAACGACGTCCTTTTACGATGCGATGTCTTAGTGTGCGATAGCTTAGTAGAGAAAAAGTTTTGGAAAGGTTTTTTTACGCCATGAAATAATAAAGCAAAAAAATAAAGTGTACCCTGAATTATAAAACGATGAATGGTGGCGTATTTTAGCCTTTCTATGTGATATTACGGAAAAACTTAATAATTTTTCCGTAATATCACATAGAAAGGTGAAAATAGTATGGTCTCCAATATGGCAAATAAAGTGTTTGCATTTAAGTAAAAGCTAAGCATTCATCATGAAGAAATACAGAACAAACAGCTGCAAAAATTTCAAACTATGATAAAAAGTACAGCGGACGATATCAACATTTCGGAAGAAAACTGCTCCATAATTTCTAACTATATAACTACACTTTTAAGCGAATTTCGAAAAAGGTTCCAAGGTCTAAGAAAAATAAAAAAAGTTATATAAAATCCATGACCTTTAAAAACAAGGACTATCTCAGAGTTGGCTTCAGTTTTAAATTGTAATGACTCAGAGTTGTTTGATGAATTCATCGCTTATAAAAACGACACCAATCTGGAAGTTATGTTTAAAGAAAAAGGGAAAACTGGGAATATATAGAATTTTGGAGTATTGTACCCCACAAATATAAAAGCGTCCAAAAATGTGCCCAAATATTACAAACATTCTTTGGGTCTACGTATGTGTGCGAATCATCTTTTTCAAAAATGAAAGATTCAAAGAACGTATATAAAAATAAACTTACGGATTCTCATCTGGATAACGTAATAAGAATAGCATGTAGTAACAGGCCAGATCTTGAAAAAGTTTAAAAAACGTGTTTACAGTATCGAAAATCGTATTAAAACATATAAACATTTTTGTAAAAACTACTATTTTCATTAATAAAATTAAATAAATCGTTAACTTGGAATTACGTTTTAATTAAGACCTAAATAATTTTTGCTTGCTACCCTCGACACCATTACTGAAACGTGTTTGTGGCCTCTATGGAAAAAAGGTTAAGTAAGGCTGGACTAAACGAATTTTAATAAAATCAAAGATAAAGGTTCTTTTTGTCCAGCGAGGCGGGAGGATTAGTGGTTTTTAAAGAAACAAGATCGGATGATGGGTTGTCTTCTTCTTTCTTCTCATCAGCGTGTAAAGGCCACAGCTAGACTAGACCTAGAGCCTCTCTCGTTGTAGTTGCCCCGTAACGTCACGCTTAGCAGGTGAGTTGTCGAATTACTGAAATGATTTTATCAATAACGTTTTTTGTTTCGCTAATAGGACACCAATAGAGGTGTCTATGGAATTATACAATGGCAACAAACTTGTAAAAGAAAGAAGATGAGAATAAAGCCGACTTTCCACTATGGGATTTATATTACATCTCGAGATATAAATTAATATCGCTCACAGTACTTTTAAATGGAAACGTTTCCATTGAGATATAATATATATTACATCCCAAACTATAAATATTTTTTCGATCGACCGAGTGATATCTTCGTATTGTATAATGATTTCTTATATTTACGCGAACACTACACATTGAAATAATACTAGTTTTTACTGAATTTATCGCGTATATTTAACTTTTTAATTACCCGACGTTTCGAACGCTTTACAGCACTCATGGTCACGGGCAGGACTGAGATGTTCAACGTCCATATGTCATAGTTAACCGCGGTTACCATAGATTAAAATTTTTAAAATTTAACTTTTGTTCCGATCTATGCAGTATGAACTTAAAGAACTTCAAGATACCATAAGTTCATACTGCATAGATCGGAACAAAAGTTAAATTTTAATCTATGGTAACCGCGGTTAATATGACATATGGACGTTGAACATCTCAGCCCTGCCCGTGACATGAGTGCTGTAAAGCGTTCGAAACGTCGGGTAATTAAAAAGTTAAATATACGCGATAAATTCCGTAAAAACCAGTATTATTTCTTCGTATTGTATTTCACCTCCTGTACCCCGCACACAATTCCGCGCCTCCGCTACGTCTTCAGATCGTCCAATGACGAACGCACACGCAGAGAGAGAGGGAAATAAATCATTAGATGGGCAGCAGCGTGTAATTAATAACAACAGAAAAATAAAAAAACTGTGATTGCCACCTCACACGACAAACGTTGCAACTACGGCAAATATAGATATTTGCCGTAGTCGCAGTAGTAGATAGATCTATGGGGAGGCCTATGTTCAGCTGTGGACTTTGATAGGCTAAAACGGTAACAGTATACGGAAATCGATCTTACCTTTGGACTGAGCCTCACACTGTCCATTCAGTGGCGGGGAGTTGTCTCCACAGAGACACCTGGTCACGGAGTCGTAATGGGTACGAACGCAGGAAGAACTGGTAATGCCAGCGCACTCCGCTTGTCGGGAACACGGCCGGGCTGCAAACATTACAGGCTAAATTAATCGGTGAATGTGGAGTTATAGTCGTCAGTGTTTTTGGAGGGTCATTGATAGCTGGATGATGTTACCCTGGTCAATTTCAATCACGGTGACAACTTTTCATATAGGCGAGTAAGGATGATAAATAAGTACCCAATACACTTTATAGTAAATAATTTCAAGTAAATCGAATACGCACGTTTTTACCCGTTTTTCTCTCCCTCCCTCAAGATATTATCTATCATTATTTTGTGTTTTGTCAGGAAGATACCGCTACATCGTAGCAGAAGATACTGCTACATCGTAGCAGAAGATACTGCTACATCGTAGCAGAAGATACTGCTACATCGTAGCAGAAGATACTGCTACATCGTAGCAGAAAATACTGCTACATCGTAGTAGAAGATACTGCTACCACCATTGTGAGTCACTACTTACGGGATGGTGTTGGTTATGGGGTCTTACAGGTTCTAAGTATGAGGTATTGGGTACTCTTACGCCACCGCTACGTGGTGTTAACACGATCCTGTTATAATACATAATTTTGAAATATTTTCGTCTAAGCAGATGTAGCATTCTCGATTGTTTTATTTTCCGCTGAGTAAGTGGTAGATCGGCGTACGAAATTTGGATTACTAATGGGAATCCAACTCGCATATGTACCGTGTGATTCTCAAGACTTAGTATTCGTACCTAACTAACTATTAGGTTTTAAAGTTTGCATTACGAATATTTACAATGTAATATTATCATCATCTCTTGATTCAGAAAACAATTCATTTAATTGTTAGAATAATAATATGTCTAGTCCTATTTTCTTTATATTGATAGACATAAATTAATATAAAAAAAACAAAAAGAGAAAAGAAGATACCGAGTGCTCTTACTCTCATATTTGGCATAGTATAAATAGACCAAAGATGACCACTTTATATTTAAACTACGCTTAAATTACACGCAACATCATTCAATGGGTTTGTCTCTTTTTGCCTTTTTTGAAAATTAAAGTAGAAAAAGAGAGACAAGTACATTGAGTATATACAACATGTAACATAATTAACGCACTTTGAGAAAGTAGTTTGTTCAGGATCGTTTACTGAATCGATTCCTATCATTTTTAATATAGGTAATTTTTTATCCCAAAAATAATTAAAACTACGTAAATTACAGTCACACTAAATCTGTACAGTCAAAACAAACTGAAATGGACCGTAACTTAAGGCAAAAAGACTATTAAGAGTGCAGTTTTATTTGTATTATTACTAATTCTGTCATTCAATAAAAATAAAGAAAAATGAACTTTATTTCAAGCACGTTAAAGTCTTTGCGTTCGTGGATTTGTACTGTGCCACAACATTCTTCCGGAATTAGTATAATTAATTTGATAAATAATCAGTGTATAAAAATGTTTAACTAAAAATTCAGTGTATGTATTATGATTATTACATAATATACTAATTGGGGTGTCTGAGGGTGTGCGTTAATTACGTTACATATTGTAAAACAAGTACATACGTAGAATTGTAGGTTCGTTATATGCAAATATATGTATGGAATTACGCTAAGATTTAATCACCGGTTTATATTGACACAGCTAAGACGTCACAATTAGGGATGATCGATGTTGCAGAAATATCGATGATGACATCGATGTTGGCATCGATAGCTCAACATCGATTTTCGATGTTTATCCTACTCAAAACATCAATGTTCAACATTATCGATGTTTTTGCACGTGTATTTAATAGGTTAGAATTAGATGAATAAAAAAATAGACATGTTCTTTATGGTATATTATAAATGAAATAAAAGAAATTAATAAACAATGAATTTATTTTAAAACAGTAATTTAAAAAAATGGAAGAAGTTAACAGATATCTAGTTCATTTCTTATATAGTCCAACATTTTTTACTATTGATTGAAGAGATAGTAATTTTGAGAAAGAACTACCTTTCAGTCTGCTTCTCTGGTGATAAAGAGTTAAGCCAGCCTTTGAAAATAACCTTCCAATAATCAATTATGGGTTCATTGACATCGATGTTTCGATGTTTGACATGTAGAAACATCGATGTTTTAATTTTTAACATCGATGATCATCGAACATCCCTAGTTACAATGTTGCGGATGTCATTCCTATTCTTATCTTAACTGCATTGTTATTATGTAAGTTGTTATATAGGTACTTTACTTTTTGCATCTTCAAACTTTTTAAAACTTATTTTAATATTATTTTCATATTAAAATGCTATACCAGTACTTAGAACTTTGTATGTGGTCTTACAAATGTTATTTGGGCGTTAGATGTTAAAACTGATAACTGACCTATGATATTTGCATAAATTAATTTATTTTTAGAATTTATTTTTGTCTACATGGCCTTATCTTTACCACCCCAATACGACCTTTGGACACTTGCGTTTAGATTACGTGAAAAGTTTAAGGTTATGTCATGATGGTAACTAACACCTACGCATATATTTAATGTTGATGTACGGTGGAATGGTCTTCTTTTATGTTATCGATGGTTTTTATTTTTTTAAATAATTTCGACAAATACTCAGCCAGGGCTGAAATGTAGTGATAAATAAGGGATGGCCGAACATGGATTTCACCGAATACGAATATTCGGCCGAAAGTTCGGTAAAACTTTTACCGAACCGAATATTCGGCCGAACTTTATTCGGTAGGATCACCTCGATTCCTAACCAATTTATGTCGAAACTTGTTACCGTAAAGCTCGCGGGATGCGGGACGCTTACATGCCTTTGTATCATCATCTTGTACTGAGCAAATTGCCGGCGCACATGCTTAATGCTTATGCTTTGACTATTTTTGTGCGAAAAAAATTTCGTAGTGTTAGTCTTAGTGAAAATTGATAAAAATGAGTGGCAGATCTAATATTTGAATTTATTTTAAAGAAACTGACAACCAAAGTAAATTGAAATTTACTAATGTAATGTTTCTTTGTTTGATTCCAAAAACATTTTATCAAGCTTTCTATTTGCTATAATTGGAAATAAATCTACAGTGTCTCAATAACATAACGCTATACAAGTGGATTTAACCCATAAATAAAATATAATTTCAACAGTGAAATTATAAAAGACATGGAATTACTCTTAATATTCGGCCGAATACGAATATTCGGTAAAGCTGTTGAATATGCCGAATACCGAACATGAAACGAATATTCGGCCCATCTCCAGTGATTATATACTCTTTGGCATACACTTTAGTGATTATATAGGAAGTTAGCCAGGACTTGGCAATAGAACTAAGAGAATATATTGTTACCACGTGCTTGCTTTTACCAAGCTGCGTCGGGTGTTGTCGTTATCAACTTATCGACCAAATGAGCATCGTTAGTGGAGGCTCCTTCCGCGCATCCCGTGGAAGTGGTAGCTTAGGGGCTGGGTAATCGCCATATGTATTTCATAGAAAGTATAAGAGAAGCAGCTCAATGCTGATGTTTCGTGTGGTGAGTGTAGAGAACCGGAGATTTTTTTTACTGGAAACACCACATTTGCTTGTCGTGGCAGCCTGAAATTGAATCTGCACTTAGCTTAAATCTTAGATAATAGCTTAAGAATTTAATGTTTTTGGTGAAAGATTTGTTGGCTGTCCTTAATAAGTAAATAAATAGATAAATGAAACAAAATATTCCATCTTAGTCCTCTGAGGTGGCATTTTGATTCTTAATCGAGGATAGATGTAGTGGTTACCGTAACGAACATGGTTACCGTTACATTTACAGCTTAATCAAAGATCCAATGTCATTTGAAGCTGCATTTTTTTATTATTTTAAGTTTTTATCGGGATGGTGCTATTGCCCATCTTCTATGTATGGGATGGTGGGTATTATTACACCGCTACTACCTGCTCTCAAAATAAATAAAATACTGCAGTTGCCAAACTTCTGGTTAAAGATATTTTATCCTCAAAAGAAATATATATTTCACTTAATGAGAAATTACAATATTCAAGTTATAAATGGGTTATGAGCATACAGATAGCAAAAAAAAGTAATATATATTAACATTAAAAAGGGAGGAAAGAGTTTCATGACATAAAACTTCTTACTAGTCATTGAGCTATTATGTACTACGTACTAGAGGCGACACTGCATTCTACTACTCTGTTCCACTCAACTGCGGAGCATACACCGCACTTTAATCAGTCACTCGCTAGGCGCTTATAGAGTTGTCACGTGTTGTGTTGATTTAAAAAAATCTATTGATAAAAATATGCCGTCGTGTGTACTTAGATATTGCACAAATAATTCAAGAAATGTCAGTAAAAATCAAGGAATTACTTTTCTTCGGTTAATAAGATACTTAATCAATAAAAAGTATTATGTATTAATAATAAAACAAATTATTCCTAAGACGCCATCTCGTGTCAGGGAATATAGATTATGAAATTAATATGTTCAGATGCGACATTTCTGTGGGTACTTAAGTATAGGACGAATATTTGTTATTATAATTTGGCAAAATTTGTCATGTTTAAATCTGCTTATAATTCTTTTATTTTATTTTTAGATTTCCACATCAAAGTCCAAGTGGTATAAATTCGTCCATTTTGAACTCTCGAGTGCCCAGCATTTATGAACGACTTTTATTCTAATTTAAATAAATATATTTGTAATTTTAAATGTTATTTTAATAAGTTTTGTTAAACATACGTTTAGTATGTTTTTTATATTTGACTTAGATGCCTTTTTAAATATTCAGATAAAAATATCATTAAAATGTAATTGTGATATAATATCATGTAATATTATATTAAATAAGCAAATATAATATACAAAATAAATGACAAATTTTAAATATTGTTCTCGATATAATTTACCTATTTAACAATACAATCTACTATTACCCACGGGTCATTCTACCTAATGTTTATTCTATGATAAAAAAACAACCGCGCGAACACAGAGTAGCGCACATTTTTTGTTTGAGATAGCTATTCTAGTACGTAAGTACATATTACTTCAATGTTACCAGTT